CCCCCCCCCCCCCCCCCCCACTCTGCTGGGAGCCGTGGGGGAGTCCTGGTGGCCCTTGGCCCGTTGCCATTCGAAATCACCGCCAGAGTCTGCACAACGCGCTGAAAACGTCCCATGCCAGGGCCGTGGGCTGTTGCCATGGCGAAGGACCTGCCCTGGGTTTCCATGGGGCTGTTTGACGCTGAACGACTTGCTTTCCCGCAGGCCAGGCCCTGGCGCTGAACAGCGTGTCGCCCACAGGGAGAGCCGCCCCCCTTGGCCCGTTGCCATTCGAAATCACCGCCAGAGTCTGCACAACGCGCTGAAAACGTCCCATGCCAGGGCCGTGGGCTGTTGCCATGGCGAAGGACCTGCCCTGGGTTTCCATGGGGCTGTTTGACGCTGAACGACTTGCTTTCCCGCAGGCCAGGCCCTGGCGCTGAACAGCGTGTCGCCCACAGGGAGAGCCGCCCCGCACGGAGCTTAGGATGGAATCGGCAAGGGAGGCACGGTCAGCATTGCCCCGTGTGCGGACAGGGAACTGAGGGGCAGGGGGTTCCTCCAGGTCATACAGGGGCCATGGCAGAGCTGGGACTGGACCCCTGCACTTCAGAGCTCCGGCCTGACGTCTCAGCCACCCTCCCCTTCGCCTTCCAGCCGCCCTGCGGTGCCTCTGGCCAGGGGAAGCGTGGGGTTCTCAGACCCCGCCAGGCAGCCCCACTGAGGTCAGTGGCTGTGGTGTGAACGCAGCAGAGCCCAGCCCGGTGGACTGTTCACAGAGGCAAAGGCTGACGCGGGCCCTTTACTTGTTAAGCAAACCAGCAGGGTGATGACGACGTCCTGGATGAGGTACTGGTAGTTCCCAAAGATCTGCAGTTGCTGAAAGGGAAGCGAGCCCGTCAGGTTCCCAGGCTGGCTGGGTTGTGGTTATTTCATTACTGTGCATGGCCCCATGGCTCCCATCAGCTGACTGCAGCCCACCCCCCTGCCCATGGAGCAACTGAGACCACATGCAGTGTCAGCTCCACAGCCTTAGCTGGGAGCCAGCTGGCTTGGGGTGCAAGCAGCAGAGGCTGCTGCACTAAGCTCCCGAGGCCCCAGGGTTGGCTCTGCCTGTGGGCTTCCCGCGAGAATCAGCCCAGTCCATCGGCCTTTGTGCTGCTGCTGCGAAATCCTAACTCGTCCTGTGCCTTAGGGCTCCGTGGGGCCTGTCCGCGTCTCTCCGGTCGAAGGCACAGCCCAGTAAGCGGCAGGGAGCAGCCCCACGGAGGCCAGGGCCGAGGTTCCCAGCGAAGGAGCCTGGGACTGCGGTGGATGTCGGTGCAGGGTTCCAGTAACTGCACAGCCCTGTAGTAGGCAGTAAGTCCCGTGGCAGTGGCTGGGGCGTCCCCGGCCGGGCC